TAAGAAAAGAGCTCAACAGCAAAATAACAGACATTAATAAACATTGGTCAATAATAACTATTAAACTTTGCAGTTTCAATTCCCCAATTAAAAGATACATATTAACAGATGGATTTGAATATGGGATCTATGTTTTTGCTGCCTCCAAGAAACATATCTCACCCATCATTGACTGATATAACCCCAGGGCAAAAGAATGGAAAAAGATAATTCATTTAAAGGAAATAAGAAGCAAGTAGGTGTAGTGATGCTAATATCTGACAAAATATATTTCATACCCAAACTAGTCAGAAGAGAGAAAGAAGTATATTTCTTACTATTAAGGCAAATATCTACCCAATTTCCTAAAAGAAATTAGATCCAAAATCAAAGAATGACTAAAACACAGTGATGGGGGATAACTTTATGAACTCACTCACACTCATCAACAAATAGATCACCCATGCAAAAACTAAATAGAGAAACTCTGGAGTTAACTGATAAAATAACTCAATGACATCTAACAGATAGTCATAGAACATTACAGTCAAACTATTAAGAATAAGCTATTGTCTCAGCAGCCCAGGGCCAAAACACAAGTATAAACAGATTTAGGAAAATTGAAATAACATATTGTACTATGTATGACCACAAAAAATAAAGCTGGATATCAAGTGCAGGACTCATGTATACTAAACAACACGATACTGAATTAAAAATGGGTCAAGGAAGAAATCAAGAAGGGAATTTAAAGATTCCTATTAGTGCATGAAAATGCCTTAATTTAAGGCATTTTATGAAGGTATTTCTGTATGATATTATTTATATTAGAAAGGGAAACACTAAACTCCATATTTGTATAACAGCCCCAATAATTAGCTAAGTGATGAAAACAAGATTGTGTAACCATCCCTTTCAGGACTCACTGACCTAGATGAGTAATGTTCATTCTTCCTGTCTCTCAGACTCAAACTGTTACACTGTCTCTGCTGCAAATTCCTGTCCTCATACTCAAATGGAGACTCAGTTCTGAAACTGCTTTATGTGTCAGCTTCTAACATTGCCTGAGGTACTTGCTGTTTTGGACAGAACCTGAGTATT